AATAGGTATTTCAACATTCTTTTTCCATACACTACTGGATTATCTTCCATACCCCTTGGGGTACATAAATTCCCACTTTGGGGGACCATCTGTTTAGAAAGCTAAGAAAAATAATAAAATACAACTACAGTCATGCACTACATAACAATGCTTTGGTCAACTATAGACTGCATGTACAAAAGCGGTCCCATAAGATTATAATGGAGCTGAAAAACTATCACCTAGTAACATCATAGCCATTGTATATTGTAGCATAATTACCTAATTTTTAAAAATAAATTCAGTGAAGCCTAAGTGTACAGTGTTTATAAAGTCTACAGTAATGTCATGGGCCTTCACAATCATTCATCACTCACTCACTGGCTCATCCAGAGCAACCCCCAGTCCTGCAAGCTACATTCATGGTNGAACTACAGAACAATCTCAGATTATAGTAAGTTCTCAAGAGGCAAAGCATTGGCATATTGTATGAAAGTGTGCCTGATACAACTACCTTAGGCGCTGTTCTGTTGGATGGGCGCACATTAATTACAGCAAATAATTAAACCGAGTATAAGAAAAAAGAATAGCCATCTCCAGCAAGAGCTAGCATAGCCATCTTCTTAGAAAAAGATGAAAAATAACTGATTAAAACACTCTGACTTATGAATGAGGAGTTATACCATTTCCCACTTCAAGAAAGCACCACTATGTCCTGCTGCCTAAATCGTAAATTTCTTCCTAAGTTCCTAAAATCCACTAAGAAAGGAAGTTGANCTGCTGCCTAAATCGTAAATTTCTTCCTAAGTTCCTAAAATCCACTAAGAAAGGAAGTTGATGGGTTAAGTGGGAATTGCGATCATTTGAGTGGATTCTCACCTTTTGGTAGTAAATGTATCCTGACTTACTTCTACTAGTTAAAATCTTTAAATACAATTTCTAGTCATATATTTTTAATCTCTTTATTGAGACAAAGTTTTATCAGGAAGCATACATAAAATTCATAAAAAGCAGGGCTACTGCAGTGGTTTGTGAAAAGAAAAGTTGAATATATTCTAAGTCTATACTATGGTCTGAATATGGTCCCCTCCAAAGCTCATATGGGAGATTGATCTCCAATGTGGCAGTGTTGAAAGGTGGGGCCTTAAAAAGGTGAGTAGATCATGTGGGCTCTGCCCTCATCAATGGATTCACTAATGGGTTAATGGATTAATGGGTTATCATGGATGTGACATGGTGGCTTTATAAGGAGAGCACATGAAAATGCTCTTGCTCCCTAGCCATGTGATTCCCTGCACTATCTCAGAACTCTGTAGAGTTTCTACCAAGAAAGCCCTCACCACATGCGCCCCTTGACCTTGGACTTCCCAGCCTCCAAAACTTTAAGAAATAAATTTTGTTTCTTCATAAATTACAGTTTCAGGTATTCTGTTATGAGCAACAGATAATGGACAATACGGTCTAGGCTCTGTTGGTAGTTAAATAACTTTGAGCAATCTAATCCTCTACAATTAGATGCTACATTCTTTTAACATAACAGTAGCCAAGTCATATTCCCATGAGCACTTGAGCAATGTCCTAGAGCCAAGACAACCACAATTTCTAATCTAGGGAAGGAGAATGAGGATTTTAAAAACGGCTCATGGTCTCCTTTCCTCAGATGACTATTAATTTTATCCTGCCAGAAGTAAAAGCTTAGGGGCCGAGCCCGTGG